TTTTTTTTTTTTTTTTGGTCTTTTTTTCGTCTTTTTTCATGACCGGTAAGGGGATCGCAACCCTTGGTGTGGTGTCTCCTGCACTGCGCTCAGCCAGTGAGCACACCGGCCATCCCTATATAGGATCCAAACCCGCGGCGGTAATTAAGCCCCTACAGGTAATTTTTGATTGTGTATTTGGTGAGATATGGCATATACATGTTGATTCACTGAACTCTGTAAGTTATGGCCACCAATACCTGGTCATCAGCAAAAATAATAAGAATAAAAGTATTGAATCTCTCACCCCATAATTCTAGTATTCATGCTTTACTCCCACTATAAATATCTGGTGCTTGATAAACTAAGTTCTACAGATTAATTCTTAGAATTACTTATTAATTAATTATGTAAGCCTGACATATTCTTAAATATATTGCCTTATGATGGGGGCTAACTTCTGTTCCATGTGGTCCCCTAGAGAAAGGCAAATTGGTGTGATTACTCCAAGATCTACCCTTTGGAGGAACTCTTTACAGCTACTACATTGACTGGAACCTGAGCAGTGATTCACCAGAGACAGTAGGAAAGGGAGAAGATGATTCTACCAAGTGGGGATAAGGAAGACAAACCTTATACAGATGAAAATGATAATTCTAATAAAATATTTGTTCTGGTGGTATAAAATCTTATCTTGGTCCAAAACCAAGCTGCACCTGAAATCCTTACATATTGCAAAGCACTTCCACATGTTTTCATTTTATGTTCACAACAACCCTGTGAAATTTGAAAGTCAGGGGTGGCTATTCCAACTTACAGATTAAGAAATTATTATTCAGGGCCGGCCCGGTGGCACACTGCTACAGTGCGCCGCTTGGGAGCACGGCGGCGCTCCCGCCAAGGGTTCGGATCCCACATACAGACCGGGCGCTCACTGGCTGAGCGAGGTGCGGGCGCAACACTGAGGGTTGCGATCCCGTTGCCGGTCCCGGTCCGGTACGGGCGTGACACTGAGGGTTGCGATCCCGTTGCCGGTCCCGGTCCGGTACGGGCGTGACACTGAGGGTTGCGATCCCGTTGCCGGTCCCGGTCCGGTACGGGCGTGACACTGAGGGTTGCGATCCCGTTGCCGGTCCCGGTCCGGTACGGGCGTGACACTGAGGGTTGCGATCCCGTTGCCGGTCCCGGTCCGGTACGGGCGTGACACTGAGGGTTGCGATCCCGTTGCCGGTCCCGGTCCGGTACGGGCGTGACACTGAGGGTTGCGATCCCGTTGCCGGTCCCGGTCCGGTACGGGCGTGACACTGAGGGTTGCGATCCCGTTGCCGGTCCCGGTCCGGTACGGGCGTGACACTGAGGGTTGCGATCCCGTTGCCGGTCCCGGTCCGGTACGGGCGTGACACTGAGGGTTGCGATCCCGTTGCCGGTCCCGGTCCGGTACGGGCGTGACACTGAGGGTTGCGATCCCGTTGCCGGTCCCGGTCCGGTACGGGCGTGACACTGAGGGTTGCGATCCCGTTGCCGGTCCCGGTCCGGTACGGGCGTGACACTGAGGGTTGCGATCCCGTTGCCGGTCCCGGTCCGGTACGGGCGTGACACTGAGGGTTGCGATCCCGTTGCCGGTCCCGGTCCGGTACGGGCGTGACACTGAGGGTTGCGATCCCGTTGCCGGTCCCGGTCCGGTACGGGCGTGACACTGAGGGTTGCGATCCCGTTGCCGGTCCCGGTCCGGTACGGGCGTGACACTGAGGGTTGCGATCCCGTTGCCGGTCCCGGTCCGGTACGGGCGTGACACTGAGGGTTGCGATCCCGTTGCCGGTCCCGGTCCGGTACGGGCGTGACACTGAGGGTTGCGATCCGTTGCCGGTCACGAAAAAAGACAAAAAGGAAAAAAAAAAGAAATTATTATTCAGGGCCGGCCCGGTGGCACACTGCTACAGTGCGCCGCTTGGGAGCACGGCGGCGCTCCCGCCAAGGGTTCGGATCCCACATACAGACCGGGCGCTCACTGGCTGAGCGCGGCGTGGGCGCAACACTGAGGGTTGCCATCCCGTTGCCGGTCCCCGGTACGGGCGTGACACCAAGGGTTGCGATCCCATTACCAGCCAGTAAAAAAGACAAAAAGGAAAAAAAAAAATCTCAGCTTACAGCCCTGTTAATTACTTTATAGTAAAGCCAATCAACAACTCCCTCCAACATTAACGCTCCACCCTCTCACCAACAAATCACACACATTCACCCTCACATCTATATATAGACAACACATTACGTCTCATTTTAATACTCAGCTAAGTATTAGGATCAGCAGACATTCAAGGAAAGCTTCCATTGTGAGTAAAAAAGAGACCAAGACAAACAGTTAGAATGAAAATTAGAGAAAGGAGATAATTTGGGAAATGGGGGGAAATAACTTTAGACATATGAGATGTTCTTGTTTCTATGAAACATGAACAAAATGCTATTTTAAAAATAGACGCCACAGAACAAGAGCAGGTATTAAAAATTAAAATATGATAGTTCAAATGAAACCCTCAATGGAAATTCTAGACGATAAGTAAGAAAAACAGCAAGTAGAATAAAAGGACAAAAGATGGAAAATGCTAGAGAAATGATACAAAAATTAGAGGAACAATACAGGAGGTCTAACATACAACTAGAGGGGGTTCCAGGAAGAGAAAACCAACAGAAAGGAAGATATATTTATTTTTTAATTCCCAGAACTAAATGATGTGAATCCAGTTGAAAATGCCATGAATATCCTGCACAGTAGGGGAAAAATAAAAGCCCAAACCAAGGGCCGGCCCGGTGGCGCACTGCTATAGTGCGCCGCTTGTGAAGCGTGGTGGCGCTCCCGCCGAGGGTTCGGATCCCACATACAGACCGGCCGCTCACTGGCTGAGTGAGGGGCGGGAGCAACACCGAGGGTTGCGATCCCGTGGCCGGTCCCGGTCCGGTACGGGCGCGACACTGAGGGTTGCGATCTATTGCCGGTCACAAAAAAAGACAAAAAGGAAAAAAATAAATAAATAAATAAAAGCCCAAACCAAAGCATATCGTTGTGAAATTACATAACACTAAGAATAAGATTCTAAAAACAGTATGGCATCCTCCTCCTCAATAACACCACTGAAAGCTAAACTGCAAAAGAGCAGTGCCTCCAATTTTGCTTAGAATTTTATCCAACCAAATGACAAATCTTATATGCAAAAATTTTTTTTTAAATGTTATCCCAGGGCCGGCCCGTGGCTCACTTGGGAGAGTGTGGTGC